GACCTAAGCGTAGCCTTGGGCTTAGGCTTAGGCATAGATTAGGCTTCGGTTTAAGCTAAGCTTAGGTTTACGCTTAGACTGTTAGTTATAGACTTCTTCTCTTCTCTTCAAAGTATTTTTAATTTTATTTACGCCACGTCTAATCGGATTCCCTTCCAAACAAAAACCTACTGCCCGGTACTGCGTCGTATAGCTACGGCAAATGCATATCTCTCAACGCTGACGCCTTTGCCACCGACGATTGAATTTAATTGGAAACGTTACCAAACAGTAAATGCATACCTCGACTACAACAACATATTGTGGCGCTAAAAATGTAAAAAATAGGAGCAAGGGCGGCATTTGAAATAATGATGGCAAGATTTTATGGATTTAATAACGCTTTTTGGCATGAATATTTCATAGAATTGTGTCTGCTAGACGGAATTTAATAAAAACTATGGAAAATATAAAGATAGACACGACGAGCTGAAAGAGCGGTTCGGAATCGAGAATTTGTACCGAGTAACGTAAAGTTGTGCCAAGGTAGCCTTCTCAATATGCTTTCAGATTCAGATTTTAAACATTTTTCATCCGTGCTAGTTTCAACTATGCACATCTTATTAGCTAATGTATTGCATAAACACTTGCGATTTGCCCTAATAAAATTTATTATTTCACATCCTTCACAGCGTGATGCACACCGGCTTGCCAATCGTCTGCTCGTAGAAGGCACAGTTTTCGGTGACGTTCACCCCGAAAGCTAGGTTAAAAAATTATATGGTAAGCGTCAAAAGGTGTTACCATGGGTGCGGGATGAATAATCACAGAGAGTCTCCCCTCTGGTGTGCACGCCCAGTTGCAGCCAACGGCCGTGGTATTGTGTAGCCACTGCCGAGCCGGGAATCTCCTGAAGTGGTAACCTATGCTCAGGCTTAGTTTAGGCTTAGCTTAGGCTTAGCTTATGCTTAGCTTAGGCATAGGCTTAGGTTAGGCTTAGGTCCAGGCTTAGGCTTTAGCTTTGGCTTAGGGCTAGCCATATTCTGAGGCTTAGGCTTAGGCTTCGACCTAGGCATAGACTTGTTAGGCTTAGGTCCAGGCGAAGGCTTGAGTGGACCTCGCTTGGACCTAGGCTTAGACTTAGGCTTAGGCTCAGGCTGCCATATTTTCAAGTCTCACCCGACATGGACCGACGTCTTGCGGACCCGAATAGCCAATGGTCCAAGTATCTTCAGGGTTGTAGGTTCGAATTTTGCGCACTCTGGCCTTGTACATGCGCAGATCGACGCTTGGCGGCTCTGGAAAGTAATAGGTAATCCAGGAATTGCAATAAATAGAGGTTTAAATATCGTTGCTAGACAAAAACTCACGATCTATTCCCAGTTTTCCCCAGCCGGTAATCTCGAGCGTCAAATTCTTGTTTCGCCAGGCAGGGAAATTGGCCGGGATTTGAATCGGAAGCCTGCGCGTCGAGTAGCTGAGTTTAGTGCTGAGCTTAAAAGTATGGTAAGTAATTTAAATAATTTCTAATGATTAATCAATGGTTTTCAGGAGATTATATACCTTTAGTAGCGCGATATCGTTATCCAATGTTTTGGTTGCCACGTCGCGATAGAAATCGGGGTGTAGATGGATGTTCCCCAAGCGGATTATTGCCTAAAAAATTGCTAACTGCAAGGCTGGAAAACAGCTGAATTTTCAAACGTACTCAACGTATCCAACGAATTTTTAGCAAAAGTTTGGATAGCCAAGAAAAGCTTGATTTTATTGAAGCGCTTTATCTGCCGTTTTTTAAAAAAATGTTCTACCACATCGTCATCCGGTGATCCATCAGATGTCATGTGTTCAGCGCCGGCAAAAATCCAAAAAGTCTTTGGGGAGAGCCTGAAATTCGATTACAATACCTTAAGTCCCATTTTGAAATTTTTAGAACTTCTAGCGATTCTGGAATTATGTCTACCATAACTGTCCACCAAAGGAAGGTTATATAAATTAATTTCCGCCTTCGAAAAAAATGTGTGTCCTGAGCCTAAGCCTATGTCCAAGCCTAGCTTTAACCTGTAATTGTAGGAAAGCGATAAAATTCATTAAATTCAAAACTCACGCTTCGCGAGGAGCATATTTATTAGACACGCAATGGCCGGCCGTCAAGATCCATTCTTTGTTCATTATCGAGCCCATGCACGCATGTTTCCAGTTGCTAAAGGAAACATGACGACAAAAACACGGTTCATCTCCAAAAACCTACCTCCCATTTTTCCGTCGTAGCGCCACTGAAAATGTATACCTCTCGACGCTTGCCCCTTGGCCGCCCACGATGGAATTTAATTGGAAATTTTTACAAGGCCCAACTTTTTCATACCTCCACTAAAACGTTGTATACTAGCGCTAAAAATACAGAAAGCAGCAGCCGGGGCGGCATTTTAAATAATGATGGCAACGGTTTTCAGATGCAATAAACTTTTTTGCACATGAATATTTCATGGAATTCTGTTTTATTGTATTTTTGCCTGATTGTTAATAAAAAAGTATAAAAAATGTGAGGATAGACGCTGATGGCTGCAAGAGCTAAAAGAGTCGTTCGGAACCGCGAGTTTGTACCGAAAAACGGGAAGTTTTGCCGAGGTATCACCTCTCCATGCATATTAAGAAGCTTAAACCAGGTTTTTTTTCAGGTTTCAAAAACTATTTTCAAGTTCGCATATATTTAATAAACAAATGCGGTATGCACCAACAAATTTATTATTTCACAACCTTCACAGCGTGATGCACGCCGGCGTGCCAATCGTCTGCTCGTAGAAGGCACAGTTTTGGGTAGCGTCGACGCCGAAGGCTAATTAAGGAAAATCGGCATAACAAGGCCTAATAATAATCCGATACCAGTTGTATGCACCGAATAGTCACAGTCGAACCGTCCTCTTGTATACACACCAAGTTGCAACCACCGGCCGTGGTATTGTGTAGCTACTGCCGCGCCGGAATCTCCCTGAAACCGGCGAGGTGAAGGGGCAAAATTTGAACGTAACAATGGGCTTTTCGAAATGCGAGCTCGCTTGCCTGGTGTAGAATTTCGCGCTGATTCCAAATACGTTTATTTTGTCGCCAAACAGCCTGAATTGACAAGTTATAGCGAGTTTAAGATATTTTTCCGAAATTCTCGAGGTTTAAAGTAAGCTATCTTTAAAGGGCACGAGATCTTTTCAGCAAGGTCGAAAACAGCACCTTATGAAGCTTATGAGCTACCTTTCAACCGGGTTTTCAGGGTTTTCCGACTCACCTCGCAAGGACCGACGTTTCTCTTCCCGGAAATGCAAATGGCCGGGCTGGTCAGCGGGTAAGTAGGGATACATGTTTGAATGGGGCGCCCTATGGCATAGTACATGCGCAGATCCTGGCTCGGGGGCTCTGAAAGAAACGAAAGGAGTAAGAACTACTGATCAAACTACCAAATTACCAAACCAGTACCAAAATAACGTTTGTAAATAACAACTCACTATTTCTACCAAGTCGTCCCCAGCCGGCAATCTCGAGTGTAAGATTGGGGTGGTGCCAGGCGGGGAAACGGTGCGGGACGTGAATCTGTAGTCGGCGCGTCGTGAAGTTAAGTGGATTGGTAAGCTCAAGAAGTAGGATTGACTCTATGTCAGCATTTTCGACTTTCAATTTTCCGATAGGCTTAGGACTAGGCGCTTTTCTACCGAAGCTCAGCTAGGTGAGGTCTGGGTCGAAGCTTAAGCGAATCCTAAGCCTAAGTCCAAGAACACGAGACCTTTAATTTCAATACCTTCAGCAACGCGATATCATTTTCGCAACCCCTTCCATCTGGATGGCGATAGAAGTCGGGATGCAGATGGATGCTGGCCACTTGGATTATTGCCTAAAGGAATACTTGGTTTCTATTCAGCTTGTTTCTTTTCTTTGTCTATTAGTAGCAAAATGTCTGGCTTGAAATTTTTATCCTCCAAACCAACGTTTAAACTTTTATAAACTTCTATAAAAAAACCTTTTACCACATCAGTATCCGGTGTTCCAATAGGTGTCAGGTGCTCGGCGCCGGCGAAAATCCAGAACAGGCCCGGGGAGAGCCTGAAATTCGATGCGTGACCGTCCTTCGCATTTATAGAATTCTGAAAACAAAGGCCAATTTCAATGTAGTATGAAGTCTGGATAAAAATATATTTTTTCGATTGCAACATAGTTTTTGCGTTAAAGCAAAGTTCTTGAGGATACAGAAACATCGTCAAACGAAAAACCAACGGTTCCCGGGTCGCATTCTCATTTGACACGCTATGGCCGGCCGTGAGGATCCAATGTTCGTTCATTATCGAGCCCATAGCAAGGTGTTGCCAGTAGCTTAAAGGGGGCGAGACGGTTACGGTATCTACTTTAACATGCGGCCATTTTTCGGATACTTTGTTTGCGATCTCGTATGGTGCGTTCAATCATACCTTTTTGTATCTTGTAACTTTTGTCTAAAACTTGGCTCCTGTCCGCAGAACCTACCGCCCATTTTTGAGTCGCAGCGCCACGGAAAACGCGTATTTTTCGATGCTAGTCCCTTGGCCGCCCACGATGGAATTTAATTAGAAATTTTCTCAAGATATAAATCTTACAAACCCCCACTAAAACGCCATGTTGCAGCGCTAAAAATATAGAACACAGGAGACAGGGCGGCATTTCAAATAATGGAGACAGAGGTTTTCTGATTCAACAGAATTTGGGTATGAATAATACATAAGATTGCGCCTGGCGTTTCTCTTCATAAAAAATAAGATGTGGTAGGAAAAGTATATAAATGCTTTTAAATTACCGAAACGTTCTGAACTTGATTCCTTAACAAAGTTATCTTTAGATAAACTAACGCGTTATACTCCATTCCTTGATGTGCTGAAAAGTATGCAGACACACGTTAACAAGTTTATTGATTTTCACAAGGTTCCCACAAGCTCTCGCACACCGGCATACCCGTTGTTTTATGGTACCAGTCACAGTAAGCAGTGGCGTTGCTGCCATATGCTAAAAAGCTTGGTTAGTCATCAAAAGCGGAAATTCGGTACCTGTTCTTTTCATGGAATAGTCACAATTGAATTCGCCACCCCCATGAACGCCAAGTTGCACCAGGCCTGCCTTGGTCTGGATTGTCACCGGATCGCCCGAATCGCCCTAGAATATACTGTTAAAGGGGCAGCGCCGGTTTTCCGTGAAAAGTGGAAAAATTTGCATGCATTTTCGGTTAAAGAGCAATCACGTACACCGCAGGGCCCAACGTTTCTTGGTCCTTTATAGCAAATGGCGCGTTTGGGCATCACATGGTTGGGCTTGCAGTTCTTCCACGGAACCAAGTCTGCTTTGTACAACAACAGATCCACGCTGAACGGTTCTAAATGGAATATTGACCTCAATGGTAATGTTTTCTTGAAACAACAAAGAAAATAATAATCCGTACTGTTTTTGCCAGTCCTGCCCCAGCCAGTAATCACCAGCGGCTTCATCACGTGGGCCCAATCAAAGTTGCTCGGGATTTTGATGGCTTGACGTTGTTTGGTGTATTTGATAGGGCTGGTAAGCTGAAATAAGAAATGATGATCGATTAGCATACAACAATTCGCCTGAGAATGGCAATTTTTGATAACCGTGGTATCTTACTGGATACCACACCCTGGCTGCGGTGTTTCTCCATAATATCACTAGCAGCAAACACCCACCCTGACCAACGCGATGTCATTTTCTCCGAGAGGTTCGTAGATTTGTGGATGTGGATGGATGCTGGCCAGTTCGATGACCACCTAACGCTTCGCTATTTTGATGTAGTACTGGGTGTCCCAAAAAAAAAGCACCCCCTCTAGCGGTCCGTGGGAAGCTCAGATCAGGATGATTTTTATACCATTCGAAAGCCCGCGAAAAGGCGAGAAAACAAGCGGGCTTCATTTTCTAAGATTTTTTCTGATTCGTCCGTTATTCAGCGTTTTTCTAAAAAACAGATATCTTTTCAATAGGAATTTCGCAATTAGCATGCGGATCTCGCGTAAATCGGCCGTTTTCATGGATTTTGGAGGTAAAATTCGCCAATAAAAATACATAATAAAGAAAATGAACCGTCCATGTTTTCTTGCCTTTTCGAGAGCTTTCGATAGATACCTAAACGGCAAGAATCGGACACGTCTACGCGCCGCTAGAGGGGGGTGCTTTTTTTTGGGACACCCTGTATGGTAGATCTTACGGTCGAGAGATCAACGACGCCCTTTGCCATGTGCTGTGCGCCGGCGAAGACGAAGATTCCAAGCGGACTTTTTCTGGCAACTTTGTATATCATGCTTAGCTTGTGCTTTTTGCTTATGCTTAGGCTTAGGCCTAGCTTAGGCTTATCTGAGCTTAGACATAGTTTAGGCTTAGCTTAGGCTTACTTCTGTCGCCTAACCACATCGTAGACAGTGTCCGGCGGTGAGCACCCACTCTGGCGCAATGATCGAACCACCACAAATGTGGACCCAGGAACTAAAGGGAAGGTTACACGAACGCCATACACGCGTCCGGCTACCCGTTATAGATTTCACGCAAGGCGACGGCATGGGGATAAGTTTCGATCGACGCCACGGTGCCGCCAACGAGCTTCTTGTGGGGAGGCTAATCCCGAAACTTGCGCAAAAATTGTTCAAACCTCTTCCCTTGAAAATCCACAGTCTACAGCAAACAGGACAAAAAATATGACGTGATTTAGCATCGTAAAGTAAGTCTGGAAAGCTTCTGGCTGTCCAGTAAAATGTGCCGTGCCCATGAATAAAACAAATCTGGCATATGAGATAAATGGCATAATCTGGCATAGAGCTTTATATTTAGAAAGATATTGAAAAGACGAAGATAGAGGCTGGTCAGCTAAGTTATTTTATTGAGTGGTTTTTAATGCGGTGTTTGATTTTGAATGTAAATTATATAGATAAAAGATTGACGAAGTTGGGTTTTGACGTAGATATAATTATTCGGAATAGAAGTAGAATTAGGCCAGTTTTTTCGTTGCAAATGGGGTTGCCACGGTGTTCTTCAAATATTTATTTTTGTTTTAAGGTCATATCACGCAGATTTTCCGTCCAATAGTCTGCAGGAAGAAGTCGCAGTAGGCAGATGCGTTGACGCCATAAGCTAATTGTGAGTTGCAAGAATTTTCTCGGGTCTCCCACCGTGCTTCATTCCAGTGTAGTTACAACCGAGGCGTCCAGCCTTATGCACGCCAAGTTGCCACCACGTTTTCTTGTAGTGAACGGCGATCGCGGCTCCGGAACCGCCCTGGATAATTCTTTGAAAGGTTTAAAGGAATAAAGGGCTTAAAGAAGGCTAAAGGGCAGAATTTTATCGTTCTGTGATTAAGCATCTACAACCACGGCAAATGCCAACCGACACCGCGTCACGCAACGTAAGGGCTTGCTCATCGGGGATACGGATTTCCTACGGACACGCAAAGTGCCTGCTGCGCCCCTACTCGATAGGTGACAGCAGGGCCGTAACAAACCCAAATTTCGGGGGGGGGGGCGACCCCAAAAATTTTTCACTAATATGACTAAAACTACAGCGCCGCAGGCAAAATTTTTGGAAACATAGGGTTTATAACACTAAAACTAGTGTTAAAATTGGACAAAAACAGCGCCGCAGGCAAAAAAATTTTTGGAAAAATTAAATCATAAGGGTCCCCCTTATGAACTTTTCGGCCTTCGGCCGATTTCGGGGGGGGCTCGCCCTCGCCCCCCTCTTACGGGCCTGGGTGACAGACTATTACGCAATGGAAAAGGAGACAAGGTTCACGGGATCTCCATGCTCAGCAAAGAAAGCCCTTTTCCACCTACTCCGCATGGTCCCGACCCGGCGTTGACACCGTCATAGCAGATCTCGCCTGCCCGGCCGTCCTGACAATCATCGACCGGCTGCATTTGGGCCTCATACATCATCAAGTTCTCGCTGTTTGGTTCTGTAATGTTCAAAGGGGAGAAACGGAAGCAAATCTTCGAAGTCGGCGTCCTCTTCGACTACTAAAGTTTGTTGAGGCCGAGTTGGCGCTGAAAGACGCTAAAACCTTACTATTGCCACCCAGCTTGCCCCAGCCGGCAATTTCGAACATCCAGTTCGCTGCTGTCCAGTTGAAGCTCCACGGGATGTTGATCGGCATCCGGCGTTCCGTGTAGGTGAGCGGTTTGCTTAGCTTTACAAGAGCGAGTTGGAGGTCGAGTCAGCGGATACCTTCACCAAAGCGATGTCGTTTTCGGATTGTCCCGTGCGATGATCATGAAGATATTGGGGATGAAGGTGGACGGTTTCGGCTTGGATTATCTCCTGCGAGAAGTGTACTTTAAGCTAAGTAAAAATAATGCTTACGACACCAGAATCTGGGGATCCATGTTTGGTCATGCGCGAGCCGCCGGCGAAGATGAATATCTCGTCTGCGGGTATACTGCAATAGGGTTTTCAGCGAGCGAGATAGAGAGAGAGCGGGAGAAACAGATTACAACGCACGCCTGCTTTGTTGTATTTTCCACTGCAACGCAATGACCGCACGTCAGGATCCAGCATTGATCAATTATCGAGCCCATCGCCAGGTGTGTCCATTCTCGAAAAATGGAGCGAAGATCAGAATTGTACGTTCAGGCAATGGTTTTATAATGTTTTGCATGAATTCTCTTTCATGGCTCTCTCTCTCTCGCTCTGTCTGCCTCTCTCTCTCTCTCTCTCTCTCTCTCTCTCTCTCTCTCTGGCTCAGTCTCTGCTCGTGAACAGGCTAAGCTAAGCTTACGTAAGTTGCTTAAGTTAAGCTAAGCCAGCTTACCGATTTCCGAGTGTCCGCAGCGCGACGGTAAATGCGAACGTATCGACCGTAGTTTGCGTACCGCCCACGATCGAATTCAGTGGAGGCTCTGACTCGGAGAGACCGTAAGGTACCGACAGCAGTACGAATAATACGACGTGGTGTAGCATTTTGAAGGATGAGGCGGAAGGATTCTTCGTTTAATACAGCGTCTTTATAAATAAATATTTATACAACAGAGGCAATAACGGGGGTTTGCATCACGGCGATTATAGCATCCAAAAATACGCGGGGAAGGCTTTGCATACTATTCCGTTACAGTGCTATCTTTAGAAAAACTACGGTGCGCTACGTTGCAATATTTTTATGCGATTCAGAAATTGACGTGTAGCGTTTTTTTGGTTGCAATAACATATTTATTTCACGCATTTTTGCTGATTGAGGCAGGCCTCTCTTCCCATGACCGTAGCGTATACTACGCTAAAATTCATGCGAGAAAACTCGTTCTCCCCTGCCTGTAAATATGTGCCTGTCGTTTTTTTAAACTGCAGAACGTCGCCAAAAATAGCATCGCGGCGGTAAATTATAGTGCCAAAACGATATAACAGTTGCTCTGCAAAACTGACAACTTTATTTAACGAATCTCATTATTCTTCTTCTCCTTATTCTGGTCCCAGGCACACCTGCTTCTGCATCGTTTGTGCAAAAAAGTCGCAGTAGGGAATGGCGTCGACGCCATAGGCTAAATGCAATGATTACAAAATATGAAGTCCGTTACCCGTGCGGTCCTGCACATAAACACAGTCAACTTGGCCGGCATGATGCACGCCTAACTGCCACCAGCCTTTTTTGGAACGCACCGCCACCGGAGCGCCGGATTCAACCTAAAATTTGGGAAACATGCTGGGCGAGAAAGAGGGGAGAGAGAGGGAGTGAGAGAACGCGAGCGAGAGAGAAAGAGGGAGAGAGACAGAGAGAGACAGAGAGAGAGACTGAAAGTGGTCCACTCGTCAGCAATGATCGAGCCCATCGATAGGTGTTTCCATTTGCTGAAAAGACTGAAAGAAAGAAAGAAAAAAGCCTGAATACTTCGGTTTTTGGCACCTTAATGTTTGCTTCTTAATTCTGCACAAGATAGTCCCATATCGAAATCCCACCGTGACTTTAGAAGGTTCCGTCGTTAGTCTCAACCTACCCCGTCCTGGATATAACGCAGCGCCACGGAAAAGAAAAAGGTATCGACGGTCGTGGGCGAGCCGTTAACGATCGAATTTAATGGCGGCTGAACAAAAAACTCCTCAACAAACTTCCGTTTACCTCTTCCAAGGCAACCTGATGAAGGAGCAATAGTGTCAGGTACAGGAGGCTAAGTGCATTTCTCCAAGCCCTACTCAACCTGGTTGCTCACCAATATACCCTCCATCCGCATGAATATTCCATAAGAATCCGCAAGCCGCGTTGCTTTGAGTTCTTGAATTCTCAAGCATACCGTAGCATAAGCAACGCTTCAAACAAGCTTGTGGGTCGCAGCAGGCTGTAATCTCGATAATAGAGATTCTAAGCATATAAACGCGACGCCGGAATACAATCTTAGGAAAAACTAAGCAAAATGTCACTTTATTCAATGTATTTCATTTTCCTTCTTCTCCTTTTTCTGGTACCAGGCACACTTGTCTCTTCATCGTTTCTGCGAAAAAGTCACAATAGGCGGTCGCGTCGACTCCGTAGGCTAAAAAATTATTGCAATGCCTGAATGTTAGCGTGTCTTATACCTGTTGGAAATCGGGAAAATTTGCACCGGCGCTCTCCCACATGATGCACGGCCACCTGCCACCACCCACCACGGTACCGTACGGCTACTGCGGCTCCGGAATCGCCCTGGAATTCGATAGGTAAGTGGCGAGAAAGACAGAGAGAGGGAGCGAGAGAGAGAAAGTGAGAGATGGAGAGAGAGATAGAGAGAAAGAGAGAGAGAAAGAGAGAGAGAGAGAGAGAGAGAGAGAGAGAGAGCCTACCAAGCATGGCCCACTATTTGCCTCGACACCGTTGTAGCAGATCTCTGTGCCTGGCCTCCGACCCGGGCAGTTAGTCGGTGGGATCCATTGCGCGTGGTACATCATCAGTTGCACACTGGGGGGCTCTATAAAGAAGCTGAAACGCACGCCCGAACCCGTCCTATACTAAGCCAAAGCGTACCCTAAGCGAGCCAAAGCTATCTCAAAGCTACGCCAGCCAGAGTCCCACGTTTGATTCCCGTCCTCCCCCCATCCGGCAATTTCGAAGGTCGGCTGCTGCGCGACCCAATCAAACGTCGTCGGGACGTGGATCGGGATGACAGTCTTGGTGAAGTTCAGCGATTGGCTTAGCTGTAGAAGTATGAAAGTAACAAAGCAAAAAAAAACAATTTTTTGCTTTGTTACTTTCATACTTCTCCAGAAAGTAATAGAAAAACCCCAAGCAGCTGCCTAAACCAAACGAATCAGCGAGCTCACCCTGACGAGTGCCATGTCGTTATCAGATTCCTCGGTCTCAAGATCTCGATAGAATTGTGGATGCAGAAAGATCTCGGCCGCTTGGACTATTTGCTAAATTTGGGTGTGGAAAAATGACGAGCGTTTTACCACAGACGCTTCTGGTGTGCCGCCTGGAGTCAGGCGTGTCGCGCCGGCAAAGAGGAACAGCGTGCTGGGCGGCAGTCTAAAACATACCGGTAAGAGTACGGCAAGGAAGGAGTTATCGGCGATATAGGTGGGCAGGGCCTGCGTTGCAGCCCAAATACGCCCAAACACGTGAAGCAAAAAGTCAATAAAAAAGAACAAAAAATCAACCCACGCTTCTCTATGCTTCCTTAGGTTCGCGACACAATGCCCACACGTGAGGATCCACTCGTGGGCGATGACCGAGCCCATCGCCAAGTGTATCCATTGGCTTAAAGGTAGAGTGAAGAGTCAGGGGCTTAGTTGGCGAGCGACGTCGGATGCACAGATACGTAACGCGCTACAACGGCACGCAACTCACATACACGAACGCACTACCCGCGACGTGCAACGCACAAAGACACAGGCCGCGGACCCGCAACACGCAACGCGCCTGCCCGCGAAACACAACGCGTATGGCTGCGACAACAACGCCCCACCCGCCAACCCAACGCGCGCATTTGCGAGTGCGAGAGAGACATTACGAAGTGAGTAGCCAAAGCGCTATTTTTTAGCTTCCCCCAACTTTAATGCAAACCTACCCGTTTTCGATATACCGTATCGCGACGGCAAATGCGTAGGTATTAACGGAGGCTGGTAAACCGTTGACGATGGAACTTAGTGGTGGCTGAAGCAGAAATTCGTGGAAAAAGTCATTTTACCTCATCGGCCTGACCGTAACCAGGCAATAATAGTACCAAAAACAGGATTTGGTCTGGCATTTTTTGAGGTGGCGGTAAAGAAGAAATTTTCGCCAAATAAACTCTTGCACTACATGAATAATTCATAAGGAACTGTCTGTCTCGTCTTTTGAATTCTAAAGCAAACGGTGGGGGATCAAAATACATCTCAAAAAGAGCCCCCTCAAGCTTCCTTAACTTCAATGGCGCATAAAAAGGCTAGAAAAAATAGCTTTTTTACTTATTATATTTTTGGTTAATATTTTCTGATAGCAACAAGCACCGGAGCAAATTTATCACGTCTTAATGCAAATCTCTTTCCCAATCGTGGCCTTGTAGAAGTCGCAGTAGTCGCTGGTGCTGATGCCGTATGCTGATAAATTACTGAAAATAGCTTCAACCATTCCTACCGACGCGGAAATTTGCATAATCACAACTCGGAGCCCCGCCACGATGCACGGCCAGTTGCAGCCACTTATTTTTCTGCTTATAAACGGCAGCGGCTCCGGAATCGCCCTAAAACATTTTTAAAGCGATTATTAGAGCAGCATGAAAGCAGCGAGCGAGCGCGAGATAAATAGAAGGAGAGAGGGCGAGAGAGACATGGAGAGAGAGAGGGACAGGGAGAGAGCGGGAGAGAGCGGGAGAGAGCGGAAGGCTGAGAGAAAAATGGTTATATCTTAAAGTAAGCTACCTCACAAGGTCCAGTCAATCTCGGCGCTTCATAGCAAACCACATCCGAGATAAGATTATAGACACGATGGCAATTCGACGAGGGGACCCATTTGGCTTTGTACATCCGGAGATCTTCGCTGTAGGGTACTGAAAGAAAGCCGTTAAGCCCAAAACTTAAGCCAAGCCTAAGTTAAGCCTAGCTAAACTTAATCTAAGCCAAAGCGAAGCCCAAAACCAAGTTTAAGCTAAGCCTAAGCCTAGGCCTAGCCCTTAACATCAACCTCTGAATGAACTCACAAACATCGCCCAGCTTGCCCCATCCGGCAATGTCCATAGCAGGCTGTGCACGGGCCCAGTCGAACCTTTCCGGGATTTGAACTGCCTTACGACGATCGCCATACGTCAGGGGATGCGATAGCTCAAAATTTGACGTCTTTTCCTTTGCTACGTTCATACCTTAACCAGTGCGATGTCGTTTTCCACTTGAGCCGTCCCGACGTGGAGATAGAAGTGCGGGTGTAAATGGATGCTGTCGACTTGAATTGCTACCTAGTTGTTGTGGTGTCAGCTTTGCTGGACCACATTAGATCCTCTTTCCCGGCTGTCCCTCCTATCCAGTGGGTAAGCCACCGGCGCGCGCCCCCCCCTGCGGTCGCGTCGCGTGCGCCACTCCCCGCCTATGACTAGATTGTATTATCTCGTTGCGGGTCCACTTATCGGCACAGACTAGCTCTGTTGCCGATCCTCCTGCCACCATTTATGTAGATAAACAGTTGTTCGATAACTGTACGTCCAAGCGAAAAAATCAAACACTAAACTTTATTTAAATTCAAATTCTTACAGCAGTCGGGTCGGGTGATCCCTTGGGCGTCATCTTCTGGGCTCCAGAGAAGACGAAGAATTGGCCGGCGAATGCTCTACATATGTCGAAAGGTATACTTAGGCCCCGGCTTCCTTACACTTAGGCTTAAACTTCGGCTCAACCTTTGGCTTACGCTTTGGCTTAGGGCTTAGGGTTACGCTGAGGCTTTGTCTTACAATTACCTGAGGCTGAGGATTAGTCAGGCTAAGGCTTCGGTTTCGGCTTTGGCTTCGGCTTAGACTTCGACTTAGGCTTATACTTAGCTTTTGGCCTACGCTTGGTCTTAAGCTTAATTTTATGCTCAGGCTTGCAGAAGTGACACTTTTTGGGGCGCTTAGAACCTACGCTTCATGCGGCCGATCGTGCCGGGCAACGCAGTGACCGCACGTCAGAATCCACTCCTCCGAAACTATGGAACCCATCGCCTGGTGGTGCCATGTCCTAAGCGAGCGATTACGCCGGATTTCGACACAATGTCGACGTGCCAAAATACCGACAGGTTACATGCCAAATCGAGACTTAAATCATATGCACAGAAAGTACTGGTGGTATTTGTGCGCGGATCGATGTTGATTGGATCGTTTTTGGTGGGATTTTGTCGCCGGACTTCAACATGTCGGCATTTAACATGTCGGCAGCTTGCGCAGCATCGGCCTTAACAAACCCATTCATCACATATCGAATCGCCACGGCAAACGGGTATTTGTCGATGGAACCGGCACGACCGCCCACGATCGAGCTAGCTTCCGGCTAAAGAAAATCTTGGAAGACGGCTTTATCTTCGACCTGCGAGAGGACAGCTTGAAAAATGAAGCTTCAAAACGCTTCCTTGATCAGACACGTGATCATGAATATTCCATGGTATTTTTTACACTGTTTTCTAAATTTTCGAACTATTAAAATGCTAAAAATAAAATGAAACCCGGAGCTTTTGATCATTCATATTCAGTGTATTTTCCGACAGGATATTGAAACGCTAAAAATAGGCATTTTGGTGGTAATATAGTAAAATCCTGGGCTTTCTCAGGATACTATAGTAGTGTGTCAAATGAATTTTTTTTTATCAGAATATTCAATTCAAATCCGAACGCAAATTGGCTTCCCAATAGTGTTCTCGTAAAATCGACAGTAGGCCGTGGCGTCGAGGCCAATTGCTACAAACAGATGTTTAAGGTTAAAAAATTTGTTTTACATCTCGATCCGCCCGGGCAGCCACGCACTCCATTTGTATGAACACCAAGTTGTAGCCACCTGCTGCCGCGTTGGACTATGGCTCCACCGGAATCTCCCTAGATTGCGTAGGGTTAGCTTAGGCTTAGCTTAGGCTTAGCTTCGCTTGGCTTAGACTTCGCTTAGGCTTAGGCTTAATTAAGTTTAAGTTTAGGCTTGGGTTAGGATAAATTATGCTTAGGCTGAGCTGACCGAGCACGGCGCCTTCGAGCTCGTCCCCTTGTAGCAGATGGAATTCGGTAGCTGGTTCCCGTTTGGGTCCATTTTCCCGCATGGTACCACCTGCGTGGTCATCATCCGCAAATCAGTGCTGTAGGGCGCTAAAATGAATTGGGAAAGAAGCTGTGGAATATGAAAAAGCGTGAATGAAGTGACTGCAGATTCTCATTCTCTTACCGTTTGCGCCTAATCGACCCCATCCGACCAACTCCAGCGGCAAATCAAGCTTCTCCCAGTCAAAACTTTCGGGAATTTGGATCGCCATCGCACGGCTGGTGATGTTTATAGCTTTTCGGAGCTAAAGATAAAAATAAGGGCGTGACTCAAAATGGACGTTTCGATCTAAACCTTACTCGAATCTCGAACTGCGCTGCTTGTTATATTAATTTTAAAAAATTCTAAAAAGTGCCTTGCAGTGAAAACCGTGCTTGAACAATGTTGCACAAGTGTTGTCATCTGTATCTGCGCGGTTGTAAAGTTGTAGAATAACAGAAGGCCGGATACAGTAGCGCAAGTTTTTACCTGAATCAAGCCAATGTCGTTATAGGAAAACTCGTCAGTCCCCGGCTTTGAGCGAGCGTACAAAGGATGGAGGTGGAACTTTTTGGCTTCGATTCTTTGCTAAAAACGCTTGGTAATTTTAAAGACCTTGCAACGCAAAAATGGTTTAATTGCGTTCTGCAATCAAAAACAATAATAACCTACAACTCCGGGATCAGGTGAGCCACCATCAGTCATATGGTTGGCACCTGCGAAGACGCGGAAGAGGTTTGTTGGAAGTCTAAAAAAAATAATGAGAGGCTACAGGGAGAGCGAGAGCGAGAGAGAGAGGAAGAGAGAGAAGAGACGGAGAGTGCACCACTTACGCCTCCCGCTTTTTATCGATCTTCGATAAACAGTGCCCTGCCGTGAGGATCCATTCCGGAGCGATGATCGAGCCTCCGCAAGTGGTAGTCCATTTCCTGAGAAAATTGAAGGTATCTGTAGCATATTTTAAGCACAACGTTTCTAAGCGCACAGAGCAAGCTATCAGAGATCTTTGTGGAAAAATTCTCGTAGGCTAGCTAACTAACTTGTTGAGTTGGGCTCGTATTGCTACAGCGTACGTGTAGGTCTCGACTGAAGCACCGATGCCTCCAACGATGCCGTTGGCTGGCTGGTAGAACCTTTTTAATAATATTTTAAAATTGTACCGGAAGCTCCTGCGCTACAGTAAGCTGGAGTACAGTACTGAGCAGAACTGAGCTAAAGAGCTTGAGATCCATCTTAATAAGTGTCACACGATTTTTTTCTGAAGCTTTATAGCGTTCTCGAGCGTATGAATTATTTATTGGTTTGCGGTTTTATTACATTTGTCTAAATTTAGCATCAAAAAGGTTGAACATTATCATAAAAAATTTTGTTAACATAAAATGTATGTATTCAAGAATATCCTTGTAAGTATATGAGAGAGTAAACATAAAATGTATGTATCTGAGAGACTCGAGCCGCCTTGAAATTTTTATGGCCTTTTCCGCTTCAAAGTGTAACGCATATCCTCCGCCCGATGGTTTCTTCGTAAAAGTCGCAGTAGAACGTCGCGTCGCGCCCGTATAAGACGACTAGGATCACGAAAAATTAGAGATTACGACGAAAAAATTCTGAACAGAAAGTTTTGAAATTTGCCCCCTGGCCCGGGTATGCAGTCCGTGGGGCCATTAGTGTGCATGCCGAGCTGGAGCAAACGAAAGCCCGTGCGAAGCACCACGGCGCTGCCAGAATCTCCCTGAACAATCGCTTTTAGACGAATATCCGAATATTCTGAATGCTAAAAGACGCTAAAGTGGCTTTGGTTTAAACGTTGCACTTTGAGATGAGAGGTCCTTAGGATTTTTTTGGAGTGCCAAAAATCGAAAACGACGAAAGCCCAGCAGTTTTTCCCGAAAACTATGTCCTGCTTTCCGCCCGCGGTCGTGCAAATTTTTACGATTTACATGTCTATGCAAAGCTCTCAGCGAGCTGAGGAGCTATGTTTTTCCCCGATTTACGAACCTCCGAAATTACAGACATCCGACAAATGGATTTTTTTCCATAAAACCACAATCTCCAAGCTTTTTGCAATTACTTGCAATTGCAATAATTGCACCAGATTTTTGCAAGCCGCTGTGAAAAAATGGCTGATTAAATCGAGGTTTTTAGAAAACGTATAACTTTGGCATAAGAAATGCCGAAAATCAAGCTAAAATCCGGGAATTCAGAAAACCAAAAAGAATAGGTCTCCTCCGCTCGCTGAGAGCTCTCGAAAGATACCTAAATCGTAAAAATTTGACATGATATGATATGTTTTTCCCCGATTTACGAAACTCCGAAATTTCAGGCATCCGAAAAATGAATTTTTTTCTATAAAAGCACAATTTCCACGCTTTTTGCAAGTACCCAATGGCATATTTTTGAAAGCCACTGTGAAAAAAATAGCGGGAATGACGCTTAAGCTGATTAAATCGTGGTTTTGAGAAAACGTATAACTTTGGCATAAGAAATGCCAAAAATCAAGCTAAACAGGAATTCAGAAAACCAAAAAGAATAGGTCTCCACAGCTCGCTGAGAGCTCTCCAAAGATACCTAAATCGTAAAAATTTGACATGACTGTGGACCGCTAGATAGGGAGTTTTTTGGCACGCTTTTTAGTACTTGCAGTGCATGTCGTCTGGTTGTTGTGGAGCCCCGAGTAGCAAAGCACATTTTTTGTATTGCCGCCCCAGTTTTCCCATATACAGTCAACCATCTGCAGCTGTACCATCCGCAGTTTTGTGCTGTATGGCCCTGAAAATCGGTGGCCAGGCAGGTGTTTGACGCACTCTCAAAGCCCAGCTTCCCCCATGCTGCCAACTCCAGCGGCCTGGCGGGGAAATCGAGCTTGCCCCAGTCGAACCTCTTCGGGATCTGGATCGGCATCGCGCGCAGCGTCCACGTGATGTTTCTTGTGAGCTGAAAGGGGCTGCGCTGGCAATTTTTAGAGGGTATCCAAAAAATTCCGACAAAATAGTGCATAATCCTAAAGATAAGCTAAGCCCAAGCCTAAGCCAAAGCCTGAAAGTACCTTAATCAGGCCTATATCATTTGAGGAATAGGCGCTTGCATCGCCCAGCTTGCTGCGAGCGTAATTTGGATGGAAGTGGATCTCTTGGGCGGGTATTATTTGCTGAAAGTTGATTTTTGGCGCTTTCTGACTCTCTCTCTCTCTCTCTCTCTCTCTCCCCTTGTCTCCCACTCTCTTTGACTCTCTCTCAGCTGAAACTTACCGCTCCCCAATCTGAAGTACCAGGACCGATTCGGACCATGTAATTGGCTCCCACGAACACAGTGAAAAACACTGGCGACAGGCTAAACGCTCATATGGTAAAGCCTACGAGCAAAGGCCGAATAGTTCCTTGGATGACCTTTCTTGAATGCCGAAGTGGACCTGATCACTTATAAAGTGATCATGACCATCAATTTTTGCCTTAGGCTTCGATTAACTCACATCTGACGTTCGAAATAAATGTTTGATATACAGTGACCGGCAGTCAAGACCCACTCTGCGTCGATAATTGACCCAGTACAAACTGTGTTCCAAGTGCTGAGACGTATTTCTAGAACCTTTTGCTTCGAATAACCCACCGGTTCAAGAATGTCCGAATTGCTACTGAGTACGGGTAAGTCTCGACGGACGCACCCTTACCACCAACGATGCTCGCGACTGGCTAGAGGCAGGTAATTTAGATTGTTTTCGAGAGAGCGAGGTCAAAAGAGAGAGAGAGAGAGAGAGAGAGAGAGAGAGAGAGAGCCGCAGAGTGCGGGTGCGTCAGGCAAACAGCACAAAAAAAACATTTACCGGCAGTTGAAACGACAACCTGAAGTAGGGCACCCAGCACAAAGAAGATTTCCAATTTCGCCTGCATTTTGTTGTAATAGAATGTTCTATTGACTTTTCAGCTTCTTTATAGCTGTCTGGGTCTGTGCATGAATTATTTATCGTGCACATCGAATTATTTCGGTTTGAATTAACAAAAAATTACGCCTAAAAATGGTGTAAGGGATGCATGCAAACTTTGAAAAGGTTATTGAAAGGCCGATTCAGTCCTCCTGCAGTCGCCGGCAAATTTCTCGTCCAATTGTCGTTTTGTAAAAATCACAATATTTCGTCGTGTCCATGCCGACGACTGGAATTTTCGGGAGGTTTCGAGCGTTAAAAAATGTTCAGATACCTGGCGCAAAGTCATCCCATCTGCAGTCCAGGCTGCCCCAGGTTGGCATCCCGAGTTGCACCCAAACCTCTTTGCCTTCATGCTGGATTTTCCGGGCAGCTGAGGCGCCCCAGTCTCCCTAAAAAGCTATATAAATTCTTGATTCGAGACTATAACCTTTAGCTTCGTGTTTTAAATTAATTGGAAACTTGAAAAACCTACATTACAGACCCCTTTAAACTGATTTGCCATCAGGCAAATAATTTCCGAGGGAAATTTGTAGTTCCAGGCATCGTCACACCGTTTCTTGGACTGGATGGAAGTACGGTAATAACGTAGATGCTCGGCAGCGGGTTCTAAAAAAGCCATAAACTACAAAAAACAACCTCAAATGCAACAGAAATTCCAAAAACTACCATCCATCCCCGTCTTGCCCCAGGCCATCACATCAGCCAGCTTTCCCTTGCTGATCAGGGATTTTTCTGGAAACGGGATGAGAACCTTCTGGACTGTTTTCCCGAATTTGAGGGGTTTGCTCAACTAAAATTGGTTGTTATAAATAGTACGAAATAACCTTGATTAAGGCAAGCTCGTTGTAGATAAAGAGGCCCAGTTCATCATTCGGTTTGTCATCAACTTTCATTTCTGGGTGGATGACGACGTCGGCGACTTGGATGACTTGCTAAAATCGGGTCTCTCTCACTCCTCTCTCTCTTGCTCTCGCTTGTTTTGTCCCTCTCTAACCGTAATTCATCGTCTGAACTTGTCGAAGTTACTCTGGTACTCCCAGCTACGATTCGGTACTGATTCGCCGGACTTAAAAGGAAAAGTCAGAATAAGACAAAGTACTGAGAAATACGTTCTACGGCTTCCAAAGTAGAAACAATTCGCAGCTCCGAGGACCCATTCGCGATCGATTATCGATCCGGCGCACACGGTGAGCCATTTTCTGAAGGATTTGTAATGAGACCTTCAAGGCTTCAAGGTACAGGCGTTTAGGAAGTTTTGCTCAAGACGTGATGCATTTTTTTATTTTTTTTTATTTTTTATTTTTTACGCAAAAAGGCTTCTCTTAAAAACCTACTTTTTGACTTGGTTATAGACCTGCAGCGTGACGGCAAACGGATAATCGCCGGCTTCTGCTTCTATCCCACCAACGATCGAATTCTAGGCACTAATTCCAAAATTTCGGTATACCCTTACCGCCGGCGCCACCCAAAAGCATAGAAAAAGTAATGGCAGCAGAAAATGCATAGTGTCTGAAAAAATCCACTTCAATGCTCTTCCTGTATAAGACTCGCAACGCTGCATCATTGTTTCGTCTCGCTAGGAGTCGCTGGTGTCCGGACAATCACTTTTTATGTCAGCAAATGCCGAATTCGGAACAAGCGAATACGAAGCAGAAACTCTAAAAGTTGCAAACAAGCCAGGAGTGCTAGATTTACAACGCGATCATCATTACGCAACGAACACGCAGAATTTTTTGTAAACCGCAAGTTTTGTTTTTGGTAGTATTCGCTTTATTTTACGTTTTCAAAGGTTTGCCTATGTAATTTGCTACTTTTTTGCGCATCCAACCACCAAATCTCTCTCGGATTTCAATAAGTTTTTATTTTCTAAGTAATTTGATGGGTCGATCGTGCTGACAAATTTATCCTTTCATATCTTTCCCAGTTTGATGCACATCCGCTTGCCAATCGTCTGCTCGTAGAAGGCACAATGTTTCGTGGCGTCGACGCCATATACTAAATTCAGGAAACTCGGTCTTAAAGCCCTAACAATAAGGCGTTACCATGATTGAAGATAGAATAATCACAATCGACGCGTCCTCTAGTATTCACACCCAGCTGCAGCCACTGGGATTTGTATTGGGTGGCCACCGCCGCGCCGGAATCGCCCTGAAAACCGTTTCCCTGCTAGCTCCTTTAAAGGGAGCAGGAAGGCCTGTGGAGATCAGGACTTATCTATTTTGGACAACTAGCCAACCGGAAATGCAATGCAAAAATGTGGGAGAGAGCGGATCAAAGCGAGAGGGAGCAGAGATAATTTATGCTGGTTTTATGCTAATATATCTAGGCCTTCCTGATCCCTTTAAAAGCCATATGCAAACCGGGTTTCCACGACTTGAAGACTCACGTGGCACGGACCGGCGTTATATCGACGGCTGGAGAGATAGCAAATGCTCGGGCCAGACAGCGAGCCTCTGATGCTACACTCTTGAAGTGGTCGACCTTTGGCTTGATACATGCGCAGATCCTCGCTCATCCGTTCTGCAAAAGGGATATGAACTAGAATAAATAAAATAAATTCCTATACATTTTTAGATACTCTAAACTTTTTAGCTACTTAAAGAGATAAGGGCGGCATAAGGCAATCGATTACGCGCGGGAAAGAAAATGTCTCTGTGCCTCTCCCCTGGGCGCCCTCTCTCGCCGCTGCATCTGTTGAACCCCCCCCCTCCCCCAAGGGGGTTCAACAGATGCCGTCCTCATCTCTTTAACCAAAGCTCTCAAACCTACTTTTTTTACCGAGACGCCCCCAGCCGGCAATATCGAGTGTGAGAAACGGATCGTCCCAGGCCCGGAAATTCTCCGGGATGCGAATCTGCTGCCTGCGCATCGTATAATCGAGTTGCCGGCTGAGCTTAAAAAAAAACGGGCCGTGTTTAGGTATTTCGGTGTGGCTATATATTTCGTATTAAGTGTTATAGTGTTTTACCAACTTTGATCGCCAAAAACTTCTAAAAAGGAACAAAGGTTTGAAAATTTGGAGTTTTTATGGGTTTTTGATCTAGACACTGTAAAATGCTATAAAACTAACTATTTTTCGTTAACTGGGAAACAGGGCGATTTGAAATAAATCAAAGAAATTGGGATTGCGAAGCCTCTGGCGAGGATTGGTCTCCCCGCTAGCTGGTACCAACGAGATATGAGTAATGGAGTTTTGTCCGAATCTACCTTCACCAACGCGATGTCATTTGCATAGCCCTGTGCGTTCCCCGGGTTGCGATAGAAGTCGGGATGCAGGTGGATGCTGGCCACTTTGATTATTGCCTAGCAAAATCATTGGATTTCGCCGAAGCGTAATTTTTGAAAGGAAGAAAAGCATGAAACAATCAGATTTTTTCTGAGACATTCTGAAGTTTAAAGATGGTCATCTCAAATCTGAAAGTTGCGAATGTTGCTGTTGCAAAAAAAAACACAATAGTTCTTCCTTTACCACGTCGCGATCCGGTGATCCAAAAGGTGTCAGGTGATCAGCGCCGGCAAAAATCCAGAAAAGGTCTGGGGAGAGCCTGAAAGCATCAATTCCGCTAATTACCTTATTTGTGAAACAATTAGGGGTCTTTCTAGCCGTCCTTCATAAAAACTAACGCTTCTCGAGTCGCATTTTCCTTAGCGACACAATGTCCGGCCGTCAGGATCCATTCTTGGTTCATTATCGAGCCCATGCATTCGTGTATCCATTGGCTCAAAAGGGCGAAGTAAGAAGTTTGCTTAGACTTAGGTATAGGCTTGAATTAGGCTTAGGCCTAGGCCTGGGCTTGGACTCACTTTTTAATCGGGTTTATTTCCCAAAAAACCTACTTCCCAATATAGCGTCGTAGAGCCACCGAATATGCATATCTCTGAATGCCGACCCCGACGCCACCCACGATGGAATTTAATTGAAAATTTTCACAAAAGCGTAAACTGCCATACCTCCACTAACACACCGTATTGTAGCGCTAAAAATACAGAAAATACCAGCCCGGGCGGCATCATTTCAAATAACGGTGTCAAGATGTTTCAGTTTAATAAAAGTTTTGAGGTATGAATAATGCATAAAATTACGTCGGGTTTTGTTTTTAATAGAAAAATGTGAAAGATGTCTAAATAGGTTTAAAAAATACAACATCACGATTTTTTTGAATCCGTGGATCTCTACCAATATGAAGTATAATAGTTTTAGGGATGAGTATGAAAATAATTCGTTGTTAGCTTAAAGTACTAGGTAAAATGCTGCAACAAATTTATTCCAAAGCACAACTTCAAAATCTGATTTTAACGCAGGGAGCATTTGTGATCGGCTCCAGCCAGTCGCAAAATTGGGACAGGTCGACGGCCAGGGCTAAAATGAAAGTAATGTAATGGCGGAGAGAGAGAGAGAAAGTGAGAGAGAGAGAGAGAGAGAGAGGAGAGAGAGAGAGAGAGAGAGAGAGAGAGAGAGAGAGAGAAAGACGCCGGTACCTGGCTGCTGCTTACGATAGCTGCAGTTCATCTCAATATTCGAAACGAGCCCAATCTGATACCAGTAACTATGCATTTTTAGTAGAACGGGGCCACCGAAGTCTCCCTAATAATCGAGAAGTTCTTGAACCACTTTGATCCGAAAACTTACGTCGCAAGGCCCATGTTTCTTTTCCACGCCCGCGAAACAAAAAACAGTCTCGTCGAATTTCATGTCGGGAAACGTGGGCTGACAAGTATTTGGGTCGATGGGATTCGCTTCCATTGAGCGTAGCTCTGGGCTGGCACCGACTAAACCATGTAGCTGTAGAAACAGTCAAAAAAAGCAACGATTTAAAAAATGAACTAAAAAGCAGGGATATAAAAATCAAAATAAAAAGGGCAAGAAAAGCCATTTACTTACTATCAGGGGCGCTGCCGTCCGATCCCCAACCGATAGCAATTATAGGCTTCTCAATATTCTCCCAGCTGAACGGCTCGGCAACGGAGATTGGCAGCGCGTTCATCCAGAATTTGATAGGACGCTCGAGCTGAAGCAGCTTAGGCGTAGACTTAGTTTTGAGGTCATGCTTAGGCGCAGGCTTAGCTTAGGCTAGGGTGGGGCTTAGGCCGAGACCTAGTGCTTAGGCTTAGGCTTAGACTTTGTCGTGGCTTAGGCTGAGGCTTAGGCTGAGGCTTAGGTATAGGTTAGGTTTGGCTTAAGCTCAAGCTTGGTCACAGGCTTAGGCTTAGGGTTCGCTTAGTCTAGCTTAAAAACTGAAAATTACCTCCAGCAGTGCGACGTCATTATAGACGTCTCCGGTCGGGGCGTTTCTCAAAAGATCCGGATGCATAATTGTCCTCGCGACGATGTACGGGGTCTAAAAATGATCTTCATAATAATATATAGCAAGCGGTGAAGGCATTTTCCGAAATAACGCTTTTATTTAGTACCGTTAAATTGTATCAGTTCTGGTAAACCGACCGGCCTGATGATATTGTCCTCTTCTTCGTCTTCTTCTACATCTCCGGCTGGTTTCTCGCTTGGCCAAAATGTAGTTCCCACAAAAACGCGTAGGTGGTTTGGCACCAACCTTAAGATTTCCAAAATTCGCAACTTTGAAAGTTATTCACAACTTGTTAACATTTTTCACGAATGTTTTTTACTTACTTTTCCGTCTGAACAGCCTCATTGTCCAGCACGCAGCGCCCCGAGGTTAGAATATGATTCTGCGAGACGATCGAACCGCTGCAGGTTGTGACCCAGGTTCTGCATATGGTGTTCATCGTATTTTTTTACAAAAAAGAATCGTTTAACCCATTATAGGATCGTTGAATCGCCGCGGCGAAGTAGTACTTCTTTACGGTTTCTGACTGGCCGTCAGTGATGCCATTTACCGGCTACAAAATACAGCAATGAAAAGTTTTTAAAGCTAAACAAACCTGAAGTATGCAGAATAACGAAAAGAGAATAAAAATCAGCATATTTCGGGTAGTTTTTTAACCAGAAAATGGTAGAAAACGAAAAAAAACGGTTCGGCAACTTTCAAAATGCTTATGAATAATTCACGAACCCTTCTTGATATTAGAAAATACAAAAATAGATTTTTAGATTAAAAAATTGCAACCGAAGAGAGCAAGAGAGCGGTAGCTAGAGAGAGAGAGAGAGAGAGAGAGAGAGAACGAGAGAGAGAGATAGAGAGATAACGTTAACATTTGTGGCATAATTTGGTCATTTTTAAAAACAATGAATCCCTTTATTATCTTTCTCAGTTAATTATGATGTACGGAACATCGCCGGAACCCTCTTCCGGATCATCTGGATCTCTGTTAGGCAAACAGTTGATGCCATTTTCCTTGAGAAAATCGCAGTTGGGGCGGAGGTCGAGGACGACCACTAAAAGTTGGATTCGGCCTTTCGAATCAAGCTTACTCGGTTCATCACGCAAATAGCTGCAAGTCGATTCTGGGTGCAGCCCGACCAGCATGCCCACAAGCATCGTCCTCTGCTCATGCATGACCACTACCGCGCCGCCGATGTCTTCCTAAAATGATGGTGTGGTACAGAGGTCCTTAAGTGGAGATAAAGGCACTTTGAGCTAAGTAGCAGCACGCAAAATTGCGAAGTAATGAATGGCGATACGCCTTCGTACGCAACCAGACGCTCTAGTGCGCGATTTCGCTTGTTCATTGCGTAGCAGTACGTACATACAGCACACGTCAGCAAGCAACCGTACACTACATTTTGACATGCCTCAGTACGTACCAGACGTAATGCGTACCTTACAAGACCCGGTCTGCGTCTCATTGGCCCTAATGCAGTAGACCTCGTCTGGGAGTTCCGTTTCAAATAGTTCCTGGCAAAAATCCGGCGGGAATAGGCCGGCCTCGTAGCCGTACAGGTTTCCGTTTTGGTTATCTAAATGCAATTTTTTAATCTGGGTTTTACGAGGCTAAAAATTGCGAAATTCTGCCCCTGAAGTAAACTAGGTAGCGTCAGCTACGTGACGCTCCAAAATACGCCTTAAAGCTCATTGCAAGGACGTTAGGGACACCGAGGTAATTTTTGGGATGTAAAAAAGACTCTTTTTACGGAATTTAAAAGCCAAGGGTACGCTACCAGAGATGCTTCCAGAAGGCCTTTGAAAGCCAAAAACTTACTTTCGATTTCGGTTCTTCCCCATCCCATCAGTTCGAGAGGTCCTTCCCAGTCATCCCACTTGAAGCGATCCGGGATCATGATCGGGGTGACGACGTGTGAAAAGTTGGCTCCTTTCTTGACCTAAATTCGGCTTCAAAGGCAAGCTAAGGCAAATCCATGAGGATACGCAGGTTCATGTGATTGCAGCACCGTTAGTAGCGCAATATCGGCGTGGAAGTCGTTCTCCAGCGTCGTGCGGTCTTCAAAGAAATCAGGATGGACGATGATTTTGTCGATCCCGAATAGTTCCTGAACGATAATACGATAAATAAATAAATAAAGACAAAAACAATTCTGATGGAGACAGTACCGCATTCCGCTCATCCGATCCCCAAGGCGTAACCGTCTCTGCGTTCCAAAAGACGTACATGGAGGTGTTTGGGTACCTAAAATTGCCATGAAATTTTACGATAGTTTCTACAATACTGTTTGTCTTAAAAACCCAAGAAGGGATTTTTTAGCTTCATTATCCTTTTATAACGACCTACAACTCGAAAGGCGCCTCGTCTTGCACGACACATCTCGCTGCCGTTAGCACGACAGAATCGCCGATCATTGAGCCGCCACATCTGGTTTTCCATACTCTAAATGATGCCCTTGCCATAAGGCTCCTCACTCTCTGTCTCTCTCTGTCCTTATTTTCCTATAACTCACCCCTTCTTACTAACGTAACGAATCGATACCGCAAATGGATATCTATGTATAGACATTAGCTCCCCATCGTGGACCGTCTCACCGGGCTCTAAAAACCCAAAGACAAGAAGCAACGGAAAGAGTAGCATCTTGGAATGAATACTGTAGATATGGCTATCGGGTTTCCCACCTCTGTGTGCCATGAATTTCAATCAAAAAATTTATTTTTGTCGAAAAAGAGAAGAGGTGATGTGGCTTCGATTTTTTGAGGCTTGAAATTGCTTCGATTAACGGTGGACGAAGTTGGTATCGACGCGGACGGCATTCTTCAGGATTGTGATTTGCGGGTCTGAAAATGTGACTTAGAGTGGCGAGAGACAGTAGAGAGTGGGAGAGAGATGAGAGAGAGAGAGAGAGAGAGAGAGAGAGAGCGAAGTACTTACCCGAAATTGCCAGCTCAGCCTCCTTAAAGATCGGAATAATGATGCCACGGCGTAGAAAAACGTTGAATATGAATTCCTCCGTATTGGCGATCATGCTCTCGAAGTTTTTGGTGTATCTACAACGGATTTGGAAGAGCTTCAATTCTCCCCCAAAAATTTAAAACTCATGCTCCCCTGAACTTCACGAAAATCTACTCACTTCTCGTCCATCTCTCCAATCGTCGATGCAACCTTCTTCAAGTTCACCGTAGTATTCGAGATTTGCCCAAATATTTTCGCTTCTTCAACCTTCACTTCCAGCTTTGAATTCGTCGTGAGCTCGAGCTCAGCCAATCTTGTAGAATTTTGGGTCATCGGATTCAAATAAAGGTTCAGGGCTATCACGGCTTTGAAAGCAGCGTAGCCTTCCTTGAAATCGAGCTGCAAAGACTTCCGGGTTTGCAACAACATGCTCGTACCTGAGGTGTTGATTTTGTGCTCGCAACCACGTCGACGAATCGCTCTTTGTATTGCTCGGCTAGGCCAGGGAAAATGGTGCCCAAGCACACACGTCCATTGCAACTATGACAAGATATTCTCTATCTCTCTCTCTCTCTCTCTCTCTCTCTCTCTTTCTCTCTTTCGGTCTCTCTCTCTCTCTCACGCTCGAGAAAACTCACTCCGTCTTCAAAAATCCGGAGTACTCGCTCGACATG